TAATGGCGAAAATAATTTTTGAAGAATTTACAGTAACAAAGTAGCATGTTTTATAATAATATTCTTATATGTTATTGAATTTCAAATTTTGAAAAATCTTAATTTCTATAAAAAAAAAAAATAATCATTACATATTTATTTAAAAATGAAATTATTGATTTTTTCAAATAATTTTCATTTTAAAAACCTGAAAAAATTCCGTTTTTTAACCTGGAAAACCTGGAGAAGTCAATGGCAACACTGCGAGTATAGTAATAATTTAGTATCAGTTTAGTAATAGTTTGGTAATAGTTCAGTAACAGTAAAATTACCCATTCATAAAAAAAACAAACGGTTTGGTAAAATTTACAAGACTCGGCAAATTCGGCCTGTTTTCGAACAATAGCAAAAGTATTGTGTAGAGAATGTTGGACCGATGATTTAAAAATGAAATCGAATTGCACTCGGGGGAATTAAGAGGGGGAAGGGGGGCCTTCTGAGGGTCCAAGATGGCAGAGCACCATGCTAAATCGGGCACGTGGGAAAAGAGGAGGGAGAAACGTGAGAGAACGAAGGAGGACAAAATAAAAGCAAGTCCCGTGAGAAAGGGACGGAGGGAATAAAAAAAGCGACACGATGATTGAAGGAGGAAATAAAGAGCAAAGAATGAGAAGTTGAAGAAGAAGAAGAAGAAGAAGAAGAATGAGAGGAGAAACATAAGTTGAAAAAGGAATACAGGAACAAAGATATGTGTTTGTATCACAAAATGCTCGAGGAAAAATTTTTGTTTCTAAGAAAGAAAGTTTATGAATTTTAATAATTTCTAATAATAAAATTATAACCTTTCTTGAATTCAATTATTTTTTACAATTTTCATTCAATAAAATAAATAAATGAAATAAAATAAAAATAAATAAATGAAATAAAATAAAAATAAATAAAACAATAAAAAAATCAGAAAAAATGGAAAAATAAATAAAAGAGAAAATAGAAAGAAATGGAAATGAAAATATAAAAATCCAGGATAAAGAGAAGAAGAAACAGAAAATAGAAAAATGAAAAAAAGCAGATAGAGAAATAGAAAGAGACGAAGAAATAGAAGAAGTAACAGAAAGAGAAGCGAAATGAAGAAAGAGAAAAAGAAGAAAAGAGAAGACAAACAGGAGAAGAAAAAATAGAAAAAGGAAGAAAAGCATATAAAGAAAGAGAAGGAGACGAAGAAAGAGAAAGAGAAGCGAAACGGTGAAGAAATAGAAGAAAAAAGAGAAAAAGAAGCAAAACGGTGAAGAAAGAGCAAATGGAGAAAAGAGAAACAGAAGAAATAAGAAAAAGAAGAAAAGAGTAAAGAAGAGAGAGAGAGGGGGGGGAAAAAGCTCTCTAGAAGGAGACTTGTTAATAATGTATTATAAATATAGACACGCACTCACGCAACACAAGAGACGCGTGCTTCGCATAGCTCCGGCATTGTTGGCCCAGCACGAGACCCTCGGGGGCCTTGTGTCGTGGTCGCCCCATTGGGAACGAATGGAGGACGGGACAAGCGATGGGACAGAGGTCCCGCGTTGCATGGACAACAATCACATTCATCGAGGAACTCACAATGCTAATCATAAAGACGCCGACCATTGTAACATCAAACCATTGCTTTTTAACCTTCCCCTGAATCGAAATGGCTCACCTCTTCCTGTAAGATATAAATATATATATATATAAATGTATGTATTCTATTCGTTCAGCAAAATGCTTATTTCTTCATTTGACTCTTCGAAAAAAGGAACGTCAATCGTGCCTCTTTTGTCAATTGTCAAACAGTTGTCCATATAAAAATGCAACGAGACATTTCATTATTATATTTAACAAGGCAACATTTAACACGTGTGTTATGCTTATTCTCATTTCTCAGAAAAGTCATTTTCGTGTCTTTAATGTCGAATTTGACGTTGAACTTCTTTTTTGAGGGAATTATTTATTGTACGCGAATTATTTATTTTAAAAATTAGTCACAGTTTTTCTGCGGCAGGCTTCGCAGTCATCTGCTGAAATCTACTATTTACTGTATTTTTTACGTTATGCTACTATTTGGGTCCTCAGCCACTAAAAGCGACTATTTTTGTTTTTTTTTAAATTTACTTTAAATTCTTTAATAATAGAAATCAAAAACTATTCTCAAAAATAATAATCATATTCTTTAAAACGATTCAACTATTTTCAAATAATATTCGAAATTCTATTTTCAATATCTAGTATTTCCAAAAAAATTCGCATTAAAATATTTTTTAAAAAGATTTGTAAAATTTATCCAAAATTCAATTATAATAAATTTTCATAAATAATAAAATTTCCTCAGAAATTAAATAAATTTAGAATAGAATTTTCAAAGAAAATATCGAAAGAATCAATTATTTAACAAAATTTTCATACAATTCTTAAATTACTTCCACTAATAATAACATGTTTCATGGAAAAAGAATTATTTAAAAAAAATTTGATAAAATTCTAAGCAATAATTCAATTATGTTTATAAATAATAAATCTCATCAAAGAATTTCAATCATTATTAATACTATGTATTTTAAATTAATTAATCGAAAAATTGAATTATTTTCACAAATAAAATTTTCTACAAGAATTCAATTATTTAAAATACCTAACATTTTCATAATATTTATTATATTTTGAAAAAATTAATTATTTGAAACAATGTTTATAAAGTTTTTATCAAGAATTCAATTATTTTCAAAAATAACAAAAATTTTCACAGAAATTCAATTCTTTTTAAACATTTTCATAAAATTTTTCACAATAATTCAATTATTTTTATAAATAAGAAAATTATTTTCAGCAATTCAATTATTTACAAAAATATTAGAATTTTTTATAGTAATTCAATTATTTTCGAAAAATTTAATAAAATTGTTCGAAAGAAATAAATGATGTTAAATACAATTTTAATTAAATTTTTTTTGAAGTAATTGAATTATTCTTTTAGATATTTTATTTAATTTTTTATTTTTTTTAAAACTCTTTCTAAGAATTCAAATATTTTCATAAACAATTTTTCGAAAAAATTCATTTATGTTGATAAATAACAAAATTATTCCCGAAAATTCAATTATTTTGAGGCATTTTAATAAAATTCTTTGCAAAATTCAATTATTTTTATTAATGACAATATTCATCACACGAATTCAATTATTTTTAAAAGTAATCAATTTCTTCTTGAAAATTCAATTATTTTTAAAAATTCTAGTAAAATCGTTCTCAAAAATTCAATTATTTTCAAAAATAACAAAATTTTTCACAGAAATTCAATTCTTTTTAAACATTTTAATAATAATAATTATAATAATAATAATAATTATTATAATAATATAATAATAATTCCATTACAGGAATTGTTCGAAAAATGTAATTATTCTTAAAAATTAAATTTCAATTCCTTCAAAAAAATCAATTACTTAAAAAAATTTGTTTTTAAAATTATTTGGTAGAATTCAATTATTTACAAAAATATTAGAATTTTTACCAGGAATTCAATTATTATTTATAAATAGTTAAATAAAATTGTTCAAAAGAAATCAATTATTTTAAATACAATTTTAATTAAATTTTTCTGAAATAATTCAATTATTTTTTTGTAGATTGTAATAAAATTCTTCACAAGAATTCAATTATTTTCATAAATAATAAAATATACCTTTTAGAAATTCAATTATTTTCATAAAAAATAAAATTCATCTTAGGATTTCAATTATTTTTAATACAATTTTATAGGAATTGTTCGAAAAATGTAATTATTCTTAAAAATCTAATTTCAATTCCTCTAAAAAATCAATTATTTACAAAAATATTATAATTTTTTTTACAGATATTCAATTATTGTCAAAAATTTGAATAAAATTCTTCGTAAAATTTAGTTATTTTAAAAAACTTTTCGCATTTTAATGATTTTCAATATTTATACTATTTTTATAAAATTTTCAAACAGAATTCAATTATTTAAAAAAAATTTTGTAAAAATCTTCGTAAGAATTCAATTTTTTTCATGAATAATAAAAATTTCTCAGGAATTTAATTATTTTATGAAGAATTTGCATAAAATTAGTCGAGGGAAATCAATTATTAAAATTTTTTTTATTAAATTCTTCATAAGAATTAAATTATTTTTATAATTTTTAAGTTTTTAGATAGATATTTTTTTCTACTTTTTTTTAGTTTGAAAGCTACTTTTTGCTACTTTTTTAAAATTAATTATCGAGTGCGAAGATATCAAATTGAGACAAAAAAACTAATCGCAGTTGCGATTCGCTTTTTGTCTCAATTTAATATCTAGAAAAAGAAAAATTTTCATTCACACAAAATAATTAAAAATTTTAGCTTTGAATATAAATTTCATTCATCATGAAAGTCTCCTTGTCGTCTAAGACGTTTAAAGAGAAATTGCGACTGTATCGAATAACGATTCGATAGAAACCGTTGTAACGTTCATCGGAAGAAAAAGGGCATTCATGAACTTTATATATATATAAATATACGAGAGAGTGTATATCGTATAACGTTAAATTTGTGGGAGAGGTCAGAGAGCTGTCGCTCAAAGAGTCGACGTCTAGCTACCCTTCTATTAGGCATCTCCTCTCTTTTTTTAATTGCTAAATTGATGCCAATTTCGTGGCAATGCGATGTTATTCACCGTGAATCGATTTCACCGCAAGAAATTTATATATATATATATATATATATATATATATATATATAGAGAGAGAGAGGCGCAGACGAGTGAACGAGATGAAGAAAGAGCGGACGAGTCGAGGAGCGAGACAAACGCCAATTGGTTGAGAGAAACTCCGATTCCGGGGAGATAGATTGAAGAAGAGGGTGAAGGGGGTGGGAGACTGCACCCACCATGGGATTTATAGTCGTCATGACCGAGTGTTTCGGGATTTTGTCTTCTTCTTCTTTCTTCAATTTTTTATCTTCTTGTGTTCTTTCCTCTTTTCTTCTTTTCTACTTTTTTTCTATCTTTATCTTTTTCTTCCTTCTTTCTTCGTTGCTCGTTCTTTCTTCTTTGCTTGTTCTTTCTTCTTTCCTTGTTCTTTCTTCTTTCCTTGTTTTATCTTCATTCCTTGTTTTATCTTCTTTCCTTGTTCTTTCTTCTTTCCTTTTTCTTTCCTTGTTTTATCTTCTTTCCTTGCTCTTTCTTCTTTTCTTGTTCTTTCTTCTTTCCTTGTTTTTTCTTCATTCCTTGTTTTATCTTCTTTCTTCATTTCTTGTTTTATCTTCTTTCCTTGTTCTTTCTTCTTTACTTGTTCTTTCTTCATTTCTCGTTTAATCTTCTTTCCTTGTTCTATGTTCTTTTCTTCTTCTATCCTCTTTCTTTTTTCTCTTCTCTTTCCTTGTTCTATACACAAAGAAAAAAAAATAATTTCCCCAATAGCCATAATATTTTGTGCAATTTTCCGCAAACTAGTGAAAATTCCAAAATAATCAAGTAGGGAAATAAGTATAAAATTTTAGGGAATTTCCCTCAAATTTTAATGAAATCCGAATGTAAAATAATTAAAATGAAAATTTTCTGATTGAAAGTGAAAATTTCTTTGAAGAAATTTTTTTAATATTTTAAGAGAAAAACAGGGCTTGGATTGTGCGACTTTTTTTTCACAATTTTCAATTACTTTTCGACTTAAATTTTAAATAGCAGAAATATTTTTTTCCACACAATATTGTACACAAAATAATTCTTCTCTTTGGGGAAAAAAAACATAACATATTCCCGTTACTTAATATTTTTGTAGGAAATTCTCAATTTTCATAAGGAAATAATTTGCATCATTTCTATTTCTTAAGCACAATTGATGCTTTAATAAAATTTAAAGTTTTTTAAAAATAAATGAAAAAAAAATGTTTACAAATTTTATTTGTCAATTAGAAATTTTAATTGAGAATGAAATTGAAATTTTTAAAAATTTTAGAAAATAAAGAAAAAAATTTTAGTCAAAAAAATATTCTGTTACATTTATTTACGCACATTTCTTTCAAAATTTTTCGAAAACATCAATAACTTCTTTTTTAAATAAATATTTAATTATAATTATTTTTCCATAGGAATTAAGATTTTTAAAACATGAAAAATCAAACCTTTTTGAAATAAAACAACTTATAAAAAATTGTTATATATACATCATGAAGAAATCGATCACTCCGAGTCTTAGACTCGGAGCAATCGATGTCTTCATGTTTTAAAATAATTAAAGATGAGAAAGTGATAAAATCATTATAATATTTATATAAAAGAAAATTGTTTTAAATTATTTTTTATGAAAATAATTGAATTATTGCAAAGAAATTTATAAAAAAAAAATTGGTAAGTAATTGAATTCCTGTGAAATTTTTATTATTTATGAAAATAATTAAGTGTTTGCGTACAATTTTATTAAAATTTTTGCAAATAATTGAATGTCAGAAAATAATTTTATTAATTATAAAGATAATTTAAATTTTGAATAGATTTAAAAAAAATTTTTTTTTAAAAGTAATTGAATTTTGCAGAAGAATTTTGATATTTATAAAGATAATTGAAATTTTGACGAGAAATTAAAAAAATTTTATGAAAATAATTGAATTTCTGCGAAGAATTTTATTACTTTTGAAAATAATTGAATTTTGCAAAGTTATTTATAAAGATAATTTGAATTCTTGACGAGGATTTTTAAAAAAAAATTGAAAATAAATTGAATATCTGCGAAGAATTTTATTAGTTTTGAAAATAATTGAATTTTTAAAATGAATATTTTTATTTATAAAATTAATTGAATTTTGCAAAGTATTTTATGAGAACTTTTGAAAATAATTAAATTCCCAGAATGAATTTTATTATTTATGAAGATAATTGCAATTTTGACGAGAAATGTAAAAAAAATTTTGAAAATAATTGAATTTTTGCGAAGAATTTTATTACTTTTGAAGACAATTGAATTTTGCAAAGAATTTTATCAGAATTTTTGAAAATAATTAAATTTCCAGGATGAAATTTATTATTTATGAGGATTATTAAAATTTTGACGAGAAATAAAAAAAAAATTTTGAAAATAATTGAATTTTTGCGAAGAATTTTATTACTTTTGAAAATAATTGAATTTCTAGGATGAATTTTACTATTTATCAAAATAATTGCAATTTGGACAAGAATTTTATTAAAATTTTTGCAAATAATTGAATGTCAGAAAAGAATTTAATTATTTCTAAAAATAATTAAAATTTTGAACAGATTTTTAAAAAGAAATTTTGAAAGTAATTGAATTTTACAGAAGAATTTTGATATTTATGAAAATAATTGAAATTTTTACTAGAATTTAAAAAAAATTTATGAAAATAATTGAATTTCTAAAATGAATTTTATTAACTTTTGAAGATAATTGAAATTTGGTCAAGAATTTTATTAAAATTTTTCAACATAATTGAATTTCGGAGAAGAATTTTATTATTTATAAAGATAATTACAATTTTGAAAGTAATTGAATTTTGCAGAAGAATTTTGATATAATTTATGAAAATAATTGAAATTTTTACTAGAATTTGAAAAAAATTTATGAAAATAATTGAATTTCTAAAATAAATTTTATTACATTTGAAGATAATTGAAATTTGGTCAAGAATTTTATTAAAATTTTTTAACATAATTGAATTTCGGAGAAGAATTTTATTATTTATAAAGATAATTACAATTTTGAAAGTAATTGAATTTTGCAGAAGAATTTTGATATAATTTATGAAAATAATTGAAATTTTTACTAGAATTTAAAAATAATTTTTGAAAATAATTGAATTTTTAAAATGAAGTTTATTACATTTGAAGATAATTGAAATTTGGTCAAGAATTTTATTAAAATTTATTAACATAATTGAATTTCGGAGAAGAATTTTTTTATTTATAAAGATAATTAAAATTTTGACGAGAATTTAAAAAAAATTTATGAAAATAATTGAATTTCCAGGATGAATTTTTTTATTTTTGAAAATAATTAAATTTTTTGACGAGAAATTTCGATTTAAAAAATTTTCCATAAGAACTTGAAGAACTGCACTTGAACTCGAAGAAAAGTAAAAAAAAATTTTTGTTTTAGTTTCAATTATTGTAAATACGGATTTCATTAATATTTTTGTGGAAAATTGAAAGAATGTAAAAATATTTTTTTCTTCTATCCTCTTTTCTTCTTCTATCTTCTCTCCTTTTTCTACCTTTTCTCCTGCCTTTTTCTGCTTTTTTCCTTTCTATCTTCTTTACTCCTTTCCTCTATCCCCTTTCTTCCTTCTCTCATCACTCTTATGGTCCAGCCAACCAAGAAATTTTGCGAGACAGAGGCATATAAATCGCGAGACGGAAATAATACCGCGGGCACCCAAATGCGATTCTTCATCCCTTTATTCCAAGAAATCACCAATTAGGCACCCAAGTTCAGCTTCTAGGTCTGCGCCAGAATTTAAAACTCTTTTATCTTTTAAATTGGACCCACTTCTTTTTTTTCAACTTTATATAGAATGCGAAAAAAATCAAAATGCCTAGAAACTAAAAATATTTGTTACTTTTGGAAGAAAATTTTGGTTTCAAATTTGTAATTGTATATTGTGAATTTTTGGTGAAGAAAAAGAAAAAAAAATCCAGGGGTTAAAGATCTCCGTTCATTTCATCTTCCCTCTTCTCTTTTTTATTTCTTCTTTTCTTTTTCTTCATCCTTCTCTTCTTTTGCTGAATGGTATTTTGCTTCTGTGGTAATGGACTGATTCTTAAAATGACTGACCTGGTCATAACAACTACTCTTCGGTTTATGACTCGACGGGAGCAGTAAGTCTTGGAGGGTTAAAAAAAAAGAGAACCGCGAGAGTGGAAACCAATAATTCCACGCAGCATCCACATTTCAACGAATGTTTATACTGTCTACCGATCTAGACAAATATTGAGTATTAAAGCTTAAAGTATAATATCCGAATTGGTGTTGTAAATCTTGTAAATAATGACTTTAAATGAGAAAAATATAGACGGCCATTGTCATAAAGAATTAAGTTAATTGCTTTCGAGTATTGAAATGATGGTCATTCTCGATGCTGTAAAAATGATTTTCGACGAGTGAAAAGCTTTTTTTGTTCCACCAATACTTTTTCATTACGATTTCATTTTTTCTCCTTTCTTTGAGGAAAAGAGAAAGAGAAGAGAGAAAAGAAGGGGAAAGAAGATAAAAAAAAACCAGAGAAGAGAATAATTAATACCAACACTTCTAATTCCTATTTTTAAAAAAAAGTTGAGTGCAAGTTTAGAAGAAAGTCAAACACAACATTTTTTTAAAAGAATTCTTCCCGCGTGAGTTCAAGAACCATTGGGGTCCATGGGAACAGAAGAATTTTTGTGTCACGGGGCGCGGTAAAATTTGGAGGAACATAAAGAATATACGACTCCCAAAAAGTGTTGAAAAACTTTTCAGAGGAGTCATAACCTCACTGGGTAATTGGACGTTTCCATTTTTAATTGGCCACTCGATGTTTCAGCCCTGGTTGTTAGACGTTATATTGTGTTGTGTTGTAAACGCTTTACTGGAAGTTGGGACCGAATTTTTAGATATATAACAGAAGAGGAGCGTTTCGGATTCTTTTTCACTGTTTCGTCTCTCTACCTCACACCTATAAATATATAACATTCAAGTTCCTTCTGATCTTTTTCGACCGTTTACGATCAGATACAAGGGGGGGGGGGACGTTGGGGACCAATTATAAACGTCAAAGGTTGACCTGCGTTTCTCAAAATTAGGTCCACTAGTCGTTTTATTTTAATTCTTTTTTATTTTTTTTTAGTGGGAGTTTTCCCGATTAGAATTCGAAAAATGGGGTCTCCCAAACTGTCTGTCTCGAAAAATGGGTTAGGAAGGCCCTACCATATAATTGTTATGTTATTAAATACCGCTTAAGTTCCCTCTGGTCCCGACTGCGAAATACGGAGGAAATTTCTCCCGGTCGATCATCATAGTTCCTTTAATTAGAGTGTTCTCTGCGCCTTGTGATTCCTAAAAATATCCTAGACCCTAACAACAAAAATCATCCTCTTTTTCGATTCAGGAAAATGAACTTTTAATCGATCTCTAGATCACTGGGGTTCAGATTGAATTGAGATTATTATTTCTACGCGTCTTGTGTATAATTATCATTTGATTGGGTTTCAGATCTCTTTTTTGGTAAGGTACATCTCCGATCCCTTTTTTTGCAGTGTTCAAATTCAGAATTTCGATTTTGAGATTAATTCTGAATAATTTTAATTATATTTGTGTCATTTTTT